TTGGGTTGATTTGGAATAATTTCTTTTTGAAAGAATTTGTGCCAGTTTTCTTTCATCTCCAGAAGAAATGGTTTCAGAGCATGGGCTCCGTGCCTAATGTCAATTCCATAAGGCGTGCTTGTGTGTGTGCGTGCATGTACTGTGTGTGTGTGTGTGTGTGTGTGTGTGTGTGTGTGTTTTCCTTGCCCATCCTTTCCTTGACTACTGGACTTTGCCATGAGGAAGATGTGTGCTTATAATCAGGCATTTCCTTACTTTGGGGTCGTCATTTCAGACATTATAGACTTTTGGGCACAGGCTTGAGTTGGGGGAGGCAAAGTTATATAAACTGTATTCATGGTTAAATATTTGCTTCTAGGGGAAAGGTGAAAAATGCTTTGTACTTTTTCCTCTGGCTTTTTCCTCCAAAAGAGCTTGTCATGCAACAACAAGAAAAAGTGGCCAAAGGCAGAGAAACCTCTTCTCTTTCCAGTGTTGGTTTGTTTTTATTGTAAGACAAACCTTTTATGTTTTATTGTTACAAAGTTTAAACCTGGCCTAGAGGTGCCAATCTTTAGTGGAAACAGCTGCAGAACTGGTGTCCCCTGGTCAGGTAGGACTTTCTTTGAAGCAACATGTTGCCTTTTAAAAGAGAAATGAGCATGTAAGAACTTGAATCTGTAAAACTCATCAGCCTTCCACTATTATATATCTCTTAAGTAACTGAGATAGCTAGCTTTAAAACATCGTGATTAAAAATCATTTTGTGATTACTTGTTTCTGGAGAAAATAGTCTTACTTTTATCTTTAAAATATTGAAATGGATGGGAGTATTTGATTGTGTGCTGAAAAACCAGAATTGAGGATGTAGCCTCCCCTTTTTAACTAAGACCACAGAGTACATTTTTTCCTTTTGAGTGGTCTGAACTGTGATTTTGAGCTCAGATTTGTGCTTGCAGATAAATGCCTTTAGTGGGAGCAAAACTGGGTGGTTGAACACATACATCTGAATTCTAAAGATGAAAGATTTTTGCTTCTGTTGGTTGATGTTGAAGTGTTTCTCATAGTTTTGATTGAGCGATACTGGTAGCAGTGGACTTAGCATCACTCTTGGTCTCCTGCTAGGAAAAGTTGAGCATCGGAGAGCTTTCTTTCCTTGGGGGAAAATAGAAGAGACAGGCATGGAGTCAGAAGGACCAGAAAAATGCTGAAATATTTTCCTTTTGGGCTTTTGATTTCTTTGCCAAAAAATTGCCTCCAGATGGAGAAGAGCAAAAGCTCTGATTGTAAGCCATTATGTTTTTACTGGCCTGCCTCCTCATCCCGTGGCCTGGTTTGGAATCTGTAAGCCAGTCCAAATCCTTTACCTCATTTTCTAGTACCAATTTGCTGTCTTACTCATCTTCCAGCTGCATGGGGTGAGGCAAGTCCCCTTGAAACTAAACCCTCTGCCATTTTATAAACCAAGCGATAGCAGATCCTTGGCCACAGAGGATCAATATCAATGGTTCCCGTTTCTCTAAAGTTCTTGGGTCACACCTAGCAGGTAGACTGGTATCTGTGCCATACTCGGTAGGATTAATCTGCGAATGAATCTGAACAAGCCCGTTTGGTTTTGTGTAGACTTGTTACTTCCAGGGTTGCCTAACGTTCTGGCTGTTGAATGTGGAGTGCAGTTCATGTTTTGACCATATCTGACTTTACTGGCAACAGAAATCTGGACACTCCAGTTTCCCTCGGGAGGTGGTGATTGTTGGGTTGAGATTGGAGGAGAATACAGTGTCTGCACGTAATGCATACAGTAGCATTGTAGCCTGGCTGACTTGAGCCCACTTCTTTGCTCTACAAACTAATGAACAAATTAGCCTTGGGCATTGTTTTCTGTATCTGGGAGAAGAGTGATAATACCATGTTAGCTTACTTGATTTAAACAGGAATTTTTTTGGTTGGGAGAGGGATATTGGGTACTCATAGGTGATAGTCAAATGTTAGTTCTTTTTTTTCCTTATGGAAGTGGAAATTGGGATGACATAAGCGATAGTGCATTGTCAAGCTGAGTACCAAAACAGACATGACACATGGATAGGGCAAAGTAATGGTGTCTAATTACAGTTCATATCTGTGTAGGGTGCAGTCATATATACACATATGTATGTAGTCATGTGTTACATAAGTACAGAGATATGTGCTGAGGAATGCATCATTAGGTGAGCTCACCATTGTACGAACATCACAAAGTCTACCCACACCATTGTGGACGCGCACTAGGCTGTGTGATGTAGCCTGTCACCCTGGGTGCAAACAGTCCAGGTATCACTGTACTGGACACTGCAGGCAGTGTGTAACACCAAGCATTTGTGTATCTAAACACAGAAAAGGTGCAGTAGAAATACAGGATGAAAGGTAAAAAGTGGTACCGGTACCGACGCAGGGCATTTCTCATGCAGGGGGCCTGCGGGCCTGGAAGCTGCCCTGGGTGAGTCAGAGAGTGAGCAGGGAGTGAGTGTGAAGGCTGGGACATGGCTGTACAGCGCTGTGGGTTTCACACATACTCTACTACTCTAAACTTACTTTTAAAACTATTTTCTTTCTTCAGTTGTAATCACCTTAGCTTATTTTAACTCTTTGACTCTTGTAATTACACTTAGTTTAAAATGCCAGTTGTATAGCTGTACAAAAAACACTGCACTTTATAAGCTCTTTCAGCTTTAAAATTTTTTTTTAACTTTTAAAAGGTTTTCTGTTAAAAACTAAGATGCACACGTACACATTAGCTTCAGGCCACACAGGGTCCGCATAGCCAGTTTCCCGGTCTTCCGCAGCCACACGTTGCAGTGCTGGAAGGTCCTCGGAGGCAGGAAGCGTGGCGCTGCGCTGCTCTGTGATGACAAGGCCTGCTTGTGGAGTCCTCCTGGAGGACCTGCTGATGCTTCTGAGCAGGGGGCACTCTCCAGAAATATGTCTGAAGAGAGGGGTTGCTTGCTTGGGTTTGGTTTGGTGTTTTGTTTTTTGTTTGATTTTTTTTTTTTTTTCCTCTCCTCATTGTAGACTTGCTTGTAAGCAGATAATGCACCATGAACATTCCCGTCTGTTAATGAAAACCTTTTGGTGTTAAGGCCCATATTTTCAAACTTGTTAAGAGACTTGTTGAGGTCTGCAAAAGCTTCTGCTGAACTCTTCACTGTGGGTTTTCTTGAATATCCTTTGTCTCCTGAAGGTTCTTTTTTCCTACCTTTTCAGCTATCTGTTCCTGTTTCAGTTCCATTATAATCTTCTGGTGATGCTATTCTATCTTTGTATCTTTGACGAAGATGTTATGTCACAAAAATAGGGGTACAGAAAGAAACAGTTATGACTACATGTATATGGTAGGAGAGAATATCAGAAATATTTGAGTGTAAGTAGCATGAATATTTTCTTCAGGCCAATACCAGTTGGATTGTGTAAAGGTACAAAAAAGAATTACTGCGATCAAAAAAAGATATAGAAATCTGGGTGTGATAGTGCGCGCCTGTAATCCCAGCACTTGGCAGGCTAGGATGATAGTTGCAAGTTCGAGACCAGCCTAGGCTACAAAGTGAGCTCAAGGCCAGTCTGAACTGCATATGAGACCCTGTCTCAAAAAGACAAATAAAATAAAAAGGTATAGATTAGCTTGCTCACTCAAGGTGAAGTTGTCTGTGTTTGGAGCAGAAAATTTAGCCTGGCTGAGAAGTACTTTGAATATACTGTACTACCCTGAAAACGTAGTTAAGAAAAATTCTTGGAATTTCAGCAGCACAAACTGTAAGGCAAAGGAGAATTGGGACTTTTATGTGCTTTATTGTGAAGAGGTTTGTCAGAGACTGTTGGACCACGGAGTGCTTATTAAAGTGCATCAGAAAACACAGAATTAAAAACAATTGCTTACTAGTGTGAAAAATCAAAATGGTCCAATTTTGGCTCTCCCCCTTGACCTATATAGCTTATTTTATTGAGAATGAGATACGCATCAGTATGGTATGTGATGTAATTTTTGAAAAACATTTTTAATAAACTTTGTGAAAGAAACAGAGTTAGCACTGAAATCTATGACCTCAGCATAGTATTACTAAGCTAAATTTATTAAACATATGCATTGAATATTTTAAGAAAATGATGAAGTAAATAATAGTGCAAGTGATGTATAGAAATGCGAAGTTGGCATCAGCATGGCCAAAGTTTGACAAATACAGGTAAAAACGAGGATTTGAGTTCTTTAAACCTTTTCCCAAGTTTAGATTCCTGTGAAGTCTGAAGTAAAATGTAGTATTAATGGGGCTGGGGATGTAATTCAGTGGTAGAGCACTTACCTAGCATGCTTGAGCCCCTGGGATGGACCCCCAGAATCCCCACCCCCTCAAAAAAATAGGCCTTAAGATTTTTTTTCGTATCAGACCACTAAAACAGGCTCCCTTTTCTCCTTTACTTTAGAAGATAGTGGTTAAAGATACTGAGTAAGTAGAATGAGAGGCTTACTCAGCACCGTGGTGGTCTTGAGGGATACCTTGTTGGGGCACTGACTTGTATGCTAGTACAGCTTTGGGAATTTTTTCTGGATTGTGCCATTTCATCTTCCTCAAAAATAGTAGCCCTTACTCAAAATGCTAAAGTGACAAGGGGAACATCCTTTTGGCACTGTTTATGGGGTATTTTGGCTGTGGCTCTCCTGTGAAATAGGTAGGCTAAAAAAAATAGGTAGGCTACATGCTTGCAGTACAGAGGGTCAGGAACAGTCTTTTGGCTCCAGCCTCCCACCCTCACACCCTGCAACTTGTCTAGACAGAATGTTGAGGATAAAGTTTTTATTTCCTATTGTGGGCAGGAAGATCAAAGGCATCTATAAAGCCTCTGTCTGACCTTTTATGGTTAAAAATGAGAAAATCAACTTTTCTAAATTATGAAAAAATAACATGCTTTATGCTGTTCACATTTAAGAAATGTTAATGTTATCTTTGTCAGGTTACGACTATGCAATGTAACATATGTTTTTCTCTCTTTAGGTACTGGTTTTGGATTAGGAGTTGTTTTCTCTCTTACCTTCTTTAAAAGTAAGTGTGACTCTTACTAGTTTTTTAGTACAGTGTTGTAACGTGTATTATGCGCCGTGGGGGCCCTCGAGAAGGTGCATCCCGATGGCTGTCAGCCCAGCCATTCAGGGGGTCAGGTACACAGAGAGCATGGACTCTGTGGAGGTCAGAATGGGTTGGACGTCTCCAGCACTCCCCCGGGCATTGAGTCAGGGTGCCTGATACCTCACATGTGATATCACTTGAAAAGCCTGTGCTTTATGCCAGTGAGTCATTTGGCCAAATCTACATGCTCAGATATTTCTAATTAATTTTTTTCTAAAGGAACTTGAAAATGAGAGTCTTGCTGGTAATAAAAACAAATGGACCAGAAATGCACATTCTCTTGGCCAAAAATTCTAAGCAAAGGGCAGGCAGTATCCCTTTCATTTTGTGGAAGAACATCTGAAGTTTGGATATTGAGGAGAAGCCAAAGGGCTCGTTCTGACCTTCTTCCATGAAGGATTGGCGGTTGCTGCATGCTAGAGAATCATAATTAACACACACTGCTGATATGACACAATCACTTATAGGTTGGTTTAAATGAAAACCCTATAATTTACTACTGTTAAAGTATGTAAATATTGGTGAAATTCTTACCTATTTTTATAACCAAGCACCATATTGAAAGGATTGTTACTTCTGATAAAGTTAAGAAATTAAATTGAGCAGATGATTAGAACTGGTAGAAAAAAACGTTGTCTACTGTTTTTATATTTCTCAAACCTAGCAGAATAGGTACTTAGTGGATATTTGTTAATTGATTTAGTTTATTGATTAACCCCCTCTTTCAGAGGGACAGTGATGAAACATTGCAGTGTATGGTATTTTATAGTCATTGATATGATAGCTGCTGAATATTTGTTGAACCCTGAGCAAATGTATTTAAGGGTTGGGAGGCTTTATCTTCCTTTAATGGTTCCCTGTTGGGATTTTCCTTTTTCTACTCAATAGGAAGAATGTGGCCATTAGCCTTTGGTTCTGGCATGGGATTGGGGATGGCCTACTCCAACTGTCAGCATGATTTCCAGGCTCCATATCTTCTACATGGAAAATATGTCAAAGTATGTACAAAATTGATATTTCTCTTTCTTGCAGAAGAAAAAACAGTTTCTCCTGAGGCCCTGAAGAATTCTTTAGAGTGTATATGAGGAGTAAACTGTGTCATTGTGATACTGCTGAGATCCTAATTGCTCTTTGGCCTTTAATGATGGTGACACTGCTTTGTTGCTAAAAGGGTCTCCCCTGAGCCTTCCAGGTGCATATTGTGTTCACTTACACGTTAGCTGACTGGAATTGAAGTTACTACCAATGATCAAAGTATTAACTATCTGTAAGTAGCACTTTTTGTTTAAGATCTCAGAGTCTGTAAGCATTTCACACATACAGGCTAAACCTAAAGACTTCTGGGACTCTGCCATTATTCTGCTTTTTTATTGAAGAAGGCAGGCTTGACTGTTTTATATGATTCTGCAAAGTCCTCATCTGCAGGTGGATTTTTAATGATCCCAACCAGATGGAAAAGAAATGAATATAGCATGCTTCTTAAAATTCCCTTGTGTAACAGCCTTTCTTTACATAATTGTTTACTGAGAGGTATAAGGGACAGAAGTGGGAGACTATACGCTTAGGGACAGGAGTGGTATTTATTTTTGTATCCTGAGGGTCTGAAACGAAGTAAGCGCTGAAGTAAATGTAACAGGAGTTAGTGATGTCGATTGCGTATTCTGTTGGGCGTAAGCAGTATAGGCTTTGCGCTTGCTACGGCACTACCTTGGCAGTAGTCCAGCCTTTGGTGCACAACTACACAGCACCACAGGCACAGACTACTTCGCTCTCCAGCTATCCCCTGAGCTAGAGTCATCACTGTGATGGGGCAGCGTCTGGGCCAGGGGACCCACCACTTGCTTCCTGTGGGATCTTGAGTTGTTCACTTCCAAACTTCCATTTTCCATCCATAATTATAAGGGCAGTAATTTCTCCCTCTAGAGGTTTTGTTTGTTTTATTTGTTTAGAGTGTGGGGGCGATGAAGATTGCGCCCAGGGGCTTGTGCGTGCTGAGCACATGCTCTACCACGGAGCTGTATCCCCAACCCCTAATAGGGTGGTGTGAGGATTAAATGTGCAAATGTTTTGTGAGCTGTGAGGTGCTGTATATAAATGGAAACATTGGTTGTTATAGTTGAAGCCAACCAAGAAAGGGTGATTGATTTGTCCATTGTTTCACCATAATAACAAGTAGAGCGGAAAATGCGGCACAAATGCGTGTCCTAATTTGGTCAAGAACTACAGCCACAGAGTCACAGAATCTCAAGTAACAGTTCACCACCACCCAGCCCTGGGGAGTGGGGGTGGGGAACATGGGTATTAGTGAAGCAGCTCTGTGCCAAAGCAAGAGTGAGGTCAACAGAGGGCCAGTGTACCAGGAGGTGTGGCTGGATGGCATCAAGCTGATGACAGGCTGTTCCCCTCCCCTGTCCCTTCCCTGTCCTGGCAGCAGCGCCGAGTCTGGAGAATAGAAAGGAGCAGGGACCTTTAGGTCTTTCATTGTTCAAAATGTTTCCATTGTTCCAAACTGAGTTGTCATGAGTAATGGCTCGGGGAGATTATATGCATATTATATGTTTAATAGCTGGGAGTCACTGTGGAAAATATTGTTATATTTTTCACAGCCTATTTCTCCAGAATGGCCTTGTAACTTCATCCGAACTTGAGTCTGTGCCCTAGTGTTGTCATTCTCCACTCTCTGAAAAGAGGAGCAAAATCCCGTCTGGGGGCTTACTCAGGGTAGTCATATTGTGGTAACTGCTTGTGTAGTGCCTGCTGTGCCAATGGACCATCCTAGGGCCTCATCTTCATATTCTTTCTCTCAACACTGCCCAGCGGGTTATGAGAGAGGTACAACTATCCTCATTCAGCAGAGAGGAAAATAGACTCTTACTGAGGTTAAGAACTTGCCAGAGATCATGTTGTCAGTATGCTGTTTGATTCAAACTGTGCTGTTTGTACTCAGCTATGAGCTCTTAGATCAGTAATGGCGAACCTTTCAGACCTTTCAGTGATACAGACAGCCCTCTGTGGTATGCGTGCCATAGAATCACCACGATGGCCCTAGATGGATTTTAGGGATACAGGTTGCTAGGGACTGGTCACCTTGCCCTGTTCCACTCCTTTCCCGTTCTTCTCTAAGACTAGGGAAGCACTCCTATGGCTCTGGAGGCAGGCATATGGCCTTCTGTGAGACAGTGGAGCAAACAGCATGGCAAGGTTTGGGCCCTGTCGGTCCCCTGGGTGTCACTCAGAGCAGTGGTTATCACAGTGTTGTCGCAGTGTTCCTGCAGCATCCTAACCTGAGTGTCCTTGCTTCACAGGAGCAGGAGCAGTGACTATACCGAGAACATCCCAGTGGGAGGAAGAGAAATCATGTTTATTCCTCAGGAATACTGAAGTGCCCTGGAGTAAGCGGACGCTCTTCTGTAGCAGTGTTACCAGTAATGCTTTAAACTCCAGCACACTGTTTATGTATTTGAAACCAAGTCTGTTTCTTGTTTTGTATTTTCTCTCTGTAAATTGTAAGGAAGTGAGCTTAAAAGAAATAAATTTAAAAAGGAAGTCCAGTGCCCGGCCTTCATTTCTTCATCTTTAACCTGAGCTTTAGGAGGCCTGGGTCGGCAGGGCCTAGTTACAGCTGCAGAACTCTTCTGCAGCCACCACCAGGGTGCACTCCTCGCCACTTGCTCCTTGAAGCAGAGTCCCCAGAACTGTTTGCCCCGCAGAAGTCAGAAGATGGAGGTTGCCGCTGGAGATGGCGAGTGTCTCGTGGAGCTTCCCTCACTGGAGCAGCTCTAGGTTTGTTGCTGTTCTCACCAGCAGCCCTGGCAGGGCACATCTCAGCTGTGTCTGCTGCAGTGAGGTCAAACAGCTGTGTTAGCAGGACTTGAACTTGACTGGACGGCTCCCACCATTGATGTGAAGCCGCATAGCACCATGGAGCTTGGCGCAGCCCAAGCGTCAGCCCTGGGGTTTTTCTCCTGGCAGCGGAGAGAGCTGGGGCACACCCCCCGGCTAGTAGGCCACAGTTGGGGGTGGCTTTATCGTCATAAAGCAGCTGAGGTTTGAGGACAAAGGGGCCATGCCTAATGCATCTCTGTGAATTTGTTCTTATAGTTTCACCTGAACTGTGTAAGTGGAGCACAAAAAAAGTACATCAGCAATTCCTTCCATAATGTATAGAATCTCAGAGCCCAGGTTCTCATGTCTTATTTTCCTCCTTACAATAAACGTAAGACAGGCAGAGTTTGATCCTGCTGCCTTTTTTCTTATAAATGTTAATTGAGCATTTTCTATGCTAGGAACTATTACAGCAGAGAGAAGTGAATACAGATACACCGGCTTGTGCTGATAGAAAGGCACGCAGACACTTGTGACTGAAAGTGAATCGTTAACAGGGAGGCAGGCTGTGGACATGAGGTACCGTGAGAACAAGGGAGAAGGTGCAACCAAGTTTCCAGGGATGGCCTTGCACAGCATGGAATGAGGAAGAGAAGGAGAGTAGCTCTGTGAGGCTCAGAGTCATGGGAGTACACATCATAGCTGGGAAACAAGAAGTAATCCATGTAGCCAGAGTACTGAGGGGCAAGGGAGAGGTGCGGCAGGCTGGGCTGTGTCACCACTGTGGGTTATCCAGTGCCTGACCCCAGTTTTACACATCGGTTAGAACGGAGAACTTGTGCTATGATACATACATTCCGAGTAAGAAACCCCTGCCCCCTTTCCCTCCCTCCCTCTTCACCCACTCCCCTTTCCCGAAGGACCTCCTGGGCCCTGGACCTGAACAGACAGTGGTGGCCCTCTGCCAAAGATGGGCTGAGCCCAGCACTGTAAAGTCACGGCCATGGCATGCCACAGCCACTCAGCTGTTTTTTTATGTGGCCCTCTTCATTCCATAATCAAAGCAACCCATATAATTAAAAGAAAAACAACCATGTGACCTGATTCATCTCTTCCATTTCTTTACATTTTAAAAGTCAGGATTTGGGCGTGTAGCTCAGTGGTAGAGCACTTACTTGCCCAGCGTGTGCAAGGTCGGGGTTTAACCCCCACTAGTGCAGCATGCACAAAAATGGTGGTATTCACTCCATCTTCATTTCCACTTGTCTTCCCCACATCTGCTTTTAAGAGTTCGTATTCCCACCCCAACTTTTCCATCTAGATTTAGGCAGAGATAAGAATAACAAATCCCTATCCAAAAAAGACAAAGATAGAAAACTGCGTGCGCACAAATTTGCTAGATGCATCGGAATAATGTAGTGAGGGACAATGGAATCAAACTTCTCTGTCTTGTCAGTTGCTGGGTTTGAAGGCATCAATTTGAATGGATCCCTTTGCCCAGCATCTTTGAAGTACCACTAAATTGCTTTGAGGAACTAACTGGTCAAGCTCTGTGAGGAAACGGTTTTGGGCAAAGGCCAGAGAAGGAAGCAAGCACTGACTGTTTGTTTTAGTCCCAGAGTACTTTGTATTCCCACCTTGTAGCCCTTAGCAAAGACTGGCCGGAAGCACAGTGCTTGATCTTGTCCCCACTGTGCTTCAAATCAGCCTTCAGAAAGTTCCAGCTCGTTGCCAAAGGCAACTTGAAGTTTTATTAGAAATTCAAGTCCTCCAGGGCCCTGTTCCCTTGTGGGGTTATGAAACCTTGACTTCGCCTCTCGTCTGCCCTTCTGGAACCAAATACAAGAAAATTCATGGGTTTGGGGGTTGGGGGGAGAGTGCTCGGAACCCAGCTGGGCATAAGATACTAGGATAAAGCTGTGGCGCCCCAGAAGTGGCCTGCTCTGCCAACATACATAAATACGTACAGTCCGAGCTTGATGCTGTATAATTTGGCCTCAAACAATATGTATTTTGAACTCATTTAGGTGAATAACTTTGGCATTCCAAGTACCCACTGGGCGAGACTTCATCAGGCACATTTGCCTCGTGCAGAAGTGCGCCTTTGTTCTGAGACATGGCCTCGAACACACTCTACTGAGCTGTCTCCTTTCGTGAGTGTCATCCTCTCACCAATTTCAAAAGACCCAAGAATGCAGGCTGGAAATCCTGCTTATAAGAAATGCAGAGATTGGGAATGAAGATGACCATGTAGTTTTTGCTTTTTAAGTTTTCCCAAACCTCACTGTTTACTTTTTTTTTTATGTAACCAAGCCATAATTGCATTTTACTTGTCATGGTTCAATCTGATTGTATTATTGGAAGGACTATTTTTGAACCTGTCCAAATAAACGCTACAAAGTATTTCCACAATGATGTACTCGGTGGGGCTGGGACAGCTTTCTCCTGAATGGTCCTGAGACACAAATGGTTTCCTGTTGCATGCTTTCTAATTACATAAAGGCAAAGCGGTGGAAGGGAGAAAGTGGAAATTCTAAGTACCAAAAGGAATGTTAAATTTAGAATAATAAGCTCATCTGGAAGCCATCACCACTTTTTCCTTGCAGTGTGCTGGGAGCGCCACTCATCCTGGACCCCAGCGGATGGTGTTGAGGCACACACAGACTTGCGCAGGAGCGAGTAGGCTCTGTGGGGCAAGTGTGGGTCAGTGATAAATGTTACTGTAGTAAAGGATCTGAAGGGGGAGGGCAGGCGGGACCAGGGAGAGGCAGGGCTGGAAGGCTGGGATAGGCATCAGACCCCAGCTCCGAGCATCTATTCCTTTGCCTACTTGTCAGGTCTTGAGGGAAGTTCTTAATCTCTTCAAACACCAGGACCCTCATTTGTAAAGAAGGAAAAAAAATCCTCTATAAGCTCTAAGGGCCAAATACATGTGTTACCGTATATATAAAAACCAATCGTTGGGGCTAGGGATGTAGGTCAGTGGTAGAGTGCTTGCCTGGCATGCACAGCACCCTGGATTTGATCCCAAGCACTGCAAAATAAAAGAGATTGTTGCTATTGGAGTTAAAATACAGAGTGCATGACACTATTGGGGCGGGGTAGTCAGGAGATTGTTTCAGGACAGAAAGGACACAATTCTTGGCTGTGAGAGTTCAAATCAGCAAGATCCAAGGGAGAGAATGTATTTCAAGTGATCTTGTCCCCAGTGCCTACTTCATCTCATCAACCTTTAGACAGTTCCAGGCTGTTGCCAAAGGCACACATTCTATTCTGTAAGTTTCATTAGAAATTCAAGTCCTCCAAGGGCCCGGTTCCCTTGTGAGGGGTTGTGAAACTTTTGACTTTGCTTCTTGTGTGCCCTTTGAGAACAAAACTAAAAGCTGTTGGAAAACACTCCTCCATTTTCATAGGTAAATTTTAGTTTTCATCAATTTTCACTCCCTGAGGAGTGATGCCACTGTAGCTTCTTGCCTTTTGAAACTTCACACTAGCTTTAAAAGAAAAAGATCACCTACTTGCTGGGCATATAGGCTCAGTGCTAGGCTAGGAGGGGGAGGAGGAAGAAGATGCTGAAGAAGTAGAATGGGAATAGGAGGACTCGAGCTTCTGTCCTAGTAGGAAACGGGTATTACTGCATATTTGCATCCGGGAAAATTGGTCTCAGTTGTTTGATCCGTACTTGAGGGTTTCAGAGCCAGGTGCAGCTGGGGATGAGATGTGAAGAACTGTGGAGGTGGGGTCAGGTGATGTCTTCACTAGGGACTAGGGAAAAACTTATCAACTGTCTTCAAGTCATCTTTATTCCTAGTTTAGCCGGTTTGAGCTAGCACAACTTACTTTGATCACCTTTAGCAAGCATATATAATAGTTAATATTTATTGAGTATATACCATGTCCTAGTTACTGTTCTAAGGCTTTATGTACATCGTGATGCTTAATTTTTACAATAATCCACAGCCTGGGTTACACAGTGAGTTCAAGACCAGCCTGATTTACGTAGCAAGACCCTGTCTCATAAAAACAAGCAAACATTGCCTGAGGACAAACTAAGCTATAGGTAAAAGGTAGTGCAGGTGGAATTTGAACCTGGTGCCAGAGCCCCAACTGTTACCTGTGCTTTAAGCCAGTCAAAAGCTGTTTAAACCAGAATGGGTCATTTCCAAGCAGTCTGATCCATTTTAAACTGGATTTGACACATTTAAACAAGTTGAAATTGCCAAGTTCAGCTATAAGACTAAGTTGATATAATTTGAAAGCAGCTGTATTTCTTAAAGTTCTATTTCTATTACTCAGAAGCATAATTGTCAATCAGCTTCTGGTCAGTGTTGCTGATGAATTTTGTTAAATCCTTGCAAATGTAATAAAAGCATTTTGATACTTTATTGGCCTGCACAACTTAAATATATATATATACTTTCCAATTAGAGTATATATATATATATATTCCAATTAGAGTTTTCTTGAGAACTTATAAACAGTAAAATGAATCCATCACTAGGTACAAAAAGAAAACCCTTTCTGTAATGTGTACTGCTAATATTTACTATCTTAAATTTTACTATTAAGGGGTTAAAGTTTTTTGTGACTTTCCATTTTGACATTTTGTATGTATAGAAATGTGAAAATAAGGGGCTGGGGATATAGCTCAGTGGCATAAGTGCCTGCCTAGCAAGTACAAAGTCCTGAGTTCGATCCCCGGTACCATAAAAAAAAAAAAAAAAGA